CCTGTCTAATTTGCACTGCGGTCATACTTACCATTAATTAGTTAATTCCAATTTAGAGAAATCAAAAGAAATAGTCATTTTTTTAGAAATATGTGCTTTGGGGTAATTCCGGTCACTTCGTTCAAATTGCATGGTATAGACGAAAATCCGTTTCCACCGACTTCCAGAAGCGCATTTTTGCACTAGACCCAGTGATAAACTTATACAGAATACTTTAATCTATCATACGAAGTGAACCTTGGGCGAAAAGAGTCCCTCTTGAACGCCTTCTATGCTTGGAAAGAATTTTAGCGATATTCCAGAAATATTTTACCGTCTTCATTGATCTTATAATCAACTTAGAAGGTTAATTAGCAATGACATCAAGAAAAAGTTCAACCCTTCATACACAGCACACGATGCTCTTCATTTTCTTCAAAAAATTTTCAAAACCAATCGTTTTAGTGTATCAGTATTAGACTTCGTTCGTAGATAGTTCCAACAAGGTTTGAATAGTCTAAATGTTAGTCATTGATTAAGAAGTCATAAGAGCGAGAGCATAAGAGCATTGTTTCAATCAATTTAAAAATAAATTTGCTCTTATGACTGCTTAATCAATGACTAACATTTAGACTATTCAAACCTTGTTGGAACTATCTACGTGCTGTGTATGAATGGTTGAACATTTATTATTCACAATCTTAAAACAACTCGTTGTGATGGGTCTTGAATATAATAGCGATAATTATATGGGTAAACGATTATCATTTTATATTTTTTGTTTGAATTTTACTATCATTCGCTGATCTGTTTTATACACATCGACAGCCTTCGGCCACAGTGGATACAGAATTGTTTTCGAATAAACGCGATCCTTATACAGTTGCTTAAGCAAAAAGGTGCTTTTCTAATAATTTTTCTCACAAGTTAGAAAATGTGTCCGCTCTGCAGAAGTTGATTTCAGTTTTATTTTCTTCCTACAAAAATAGCTATTTTGCCTAAAACAACATGATGCAGAAAGAGAGACTTTTTTATGCGTTTCTCCTTACAAAAAATTGCGTATAATATTGTGCGACAACTTTTTTAGACTCCTCTCCATCCTGACAGCTTCGTGACAGCCCTGAATAGGCCATGACATATCATACGCATACCTCCCACCAAAATGGATGCGCTTCATTTAGATAAGAAATGCAGAGATACCTCTAGTCTGTAATGCAGACTACAGGTACAAATCGGTATTTTATCAGAATGAGCAACGTTGTTCATTTGAACTTTGTATTTATTTGTAAAATTATTTTAGTGAATGGACAATACTTTTCACACAATCATCGTGTTATGATCTGCCATTCCTGGCAGCTCATAAGACTGTGTTTTCTTCTTCTTTTCCTTTCTTTCTGTTATTGCGTAACTCTTGTTTCATTCTTTCGTTTTCGTTTCTTTCTGTTATTGCGCAATTCTTGCTTCATAATGGGATTTTCCTAAACTATTTCTGTTTCTATGTAACTCATGCGCAACTCTTGCCTAACTGTTGTTCAACTTGTGTACTATATATAGCCGTTCACTTTCTTAAATAAAGATGAGAAGTGAGTGAGTAGAACCTCACACATCGAACTTTGAAAATTTATGCTTTCCAACACTATATATAGTGCTGGACAAACAAAGAAAATAATCAAACTGTAATGGACTATAGTCCATTACAGTTTGATTATTTTCTTTGTTTCTTAATTAATTCGCATGCATTTGAAAACTGATCAATAACCTGATTATTGGATTTATCCAATGTCTTTTCAGTGTCAGATTCAACGATTGGCCGAAGTGTATCAAATTCTAAATGCTTTTTTAACAATTTCACTGCTTTACCATTCGAATCTACTTGTGTCATTTTACCTGCATCAATTATCTTATCTATTGTTGCAAACAGTGATCGTTTGGCTAGTTCAGATACTGGCTGTGAACTAAGATTTTGTTCAAGAATATTTTTAACACGGTTGCCACCGCCATGTTTTAATAGTGTTTCATAGTTTATGTTTTGATTTTCTAAACTTTGGAGACTGTTCGAAATACTGTCGCTATCTGTGACAGAATTTTGAAAATCTTCCAATAATTTATATTGTTTCATAACTGGTTCCAATAACGATCGAGTTTTTGGGTCTAAACGATGTTTATTTGCTTGAAAAAAAACCAATAAGTTTTCAACTTTTTTTCCGGTTCCTAATTCTTTCACGATTCTATTTAATTCCTCCATCCAATCACGACTGTTGTTTCCTCCCGATGTCAAACGACGTACAATTCGTTTAATGAAATTTGTCTGTTTGATGCTATTACTAATTATTGTTTTAAGGACAATAATGGATGATTTTAAAACGTCAAGGTTGTTAAAATTATTTTCTTTTAATAAAACATTTTGGACTGAAGCAATATCTGTCTGAGGCCATCCAAGAGAACTCAGTTCTTTAATGTTTTCTTTTAATGTATTTTGATAATCTCTAAACTGATTTTGATTTTCAAAGGCGCTACGTAAAGATGCAGTATCAAATTTGTAATAAGATGTTCGATAAGCCTGTGGACTTCGCGGTCTTCTGAAATTGAATCGTTGCTCACCTCTGGTATTTGAGGACGAAGTTCCGTATGGCTGTGGACTACGTGATCTTACAAAATCATTTTGTTGTGTATGCGATTTATCCGAGGAAGCTGCCTGTGGACTTGGCGGGCAAAATCAGGTTGTTGACTAACTGTGGAGCCAGCAGAAGAGATTCGGTACGGCTGTGGACGTCGTAATCTTAGAAAATCATTCGACTCATCGGATGCAGCTCTTGCTGCAGCTGCTTCGTATGGCTCTGATCTTTGTGGTGCTCCAAAATCATTCTTTTGAGCGGGGGTATTGCTTGAAAAAGATGCTCCATAAGGCTGTGGCTTTCGCGGCCCAAAATCAAACTGTTGATCCTCATGGTCGATGTTCATGTTGAGAAAAGACATTCCGTAAGGTCGTGGACTTCTAGACCTTACGAAATCGAGCCCTGGCTCTGCTGTGGAACTGGTCGAAGACTCTCGATAAGGCTGTGGACGTCGGGATCTTGCAAAATCATTCTCCGTGGGGGTTGATGTGTTTGAAGAACTGCTCCATATGGTTGTGCCCAAGCATGAAATTTCATAAGAAATAAGCTAGTTGCACTTGCTGAAGAAGCGCCCGCTTCTCCATTGACTGCAGCTAGCTAAAAGAGTAAAATTTAGCGGGTGCAGCTAGCTGCAGCGGGACAAACGCGCTAACCCGCTTCAATACTAGCTGCAGCGGGTAAGAAATTTTCCCAGTATAAAACAGTGTGCAAGTAGGTGTAGCTAGCGATTTATTGGGCGCTGCAACTAGTCAAACTGTTCTTCATAATCTATTCAATACCCGCTGTCCAACTAGCTGC